ATTCCTGTGGGGTTTTTTTCTCCCATGTGGTGAGGGGTGGGGGAGAGACAGAGGCATTTGTGTGATTTTCTGCCTTAGGTGGAACAATAACTTAGTCAGCCTTTCAAAGGGGGGGGAGAAGGAAAAAGAAAGAAAATGAAAAGAGAGAAAGGAAAGGACTAAAGACCAATAAATGTGTTTCAGTGTGAGCACTGTGCGCCTTGAACTGGGGGTGGGGGTGGGTTTAGGGCTTCAGCCTTTGCTGCCCTTCCTCTGGCAACAAAATGTCTTGAACAGATCCAACCCACCTGAAAGGGACGGGTCTTATGAATCTGCTGAGGGCATGGTCGGCAACAAAATGTCTTGAACAGACCCAACCCACCTGAAAGGCACGGGTCTTATGAATCTGCTGAGGGCATGGGAGTGGCTGACCTAAGACGGTTCCAGACATCTGCAGCTAAGATTCAGCTGCAGCAGCAGCAGCATCGCTGTAAATCCTAAGGCAGGGCGAGGACATCTCAGATTCTGCGGCCCATCCTGGCCCTTTTGGAGTCCCAGGCTCCACAACATCATCATTTGGTGGCTTATGAGCGTTATGCAGCCCCACTTTATGTCTCCACTCGGGTTTAGTCACTGTAAAAAGGAACTTCAAGCTAAAATATGTTGGGTTCCACCCTTTTGCCTTTGGCCCCACCCATCCACAGGAATGCAGTTCCTCCCTCCAAGAATTTCCCCTGGGATTGAATTTAGCCCTAAGGCTGAGCGTGGTTCTCTACCTTTGCCCTAAAGCAGTCTCACTCTTGGACAAGCAGTGTTTCCTCTTTTAAACTTGACTCTTCCTTTCCTGGGATTACTCCACACAAACACGACAACTGTGTTTGGCGGGTGAACATGTGAATTCTTTGCGGGTGTTCTGTACAGTATCTCCTGTCGCTGATGTGAGGCACAGAAGAATCTGTTCCCAGAGTGGAGTGAGACTGAAGTCCACCACCCTTCCCACATCATCCCCAGTTATTTTCTTCTAAAAGTCCTGCATGGTTGCTGTAGAAGTTGGGAATCTGAAGGCAGAGACAGACATTATAGATAGCCCATGATTGGAGCAGGCCAAGAACATCTGGAGGGCCACAATTCGACACCACTGCTGTAGAGGCTGGGAATCTGAAGGCAGAGGCAGACATTATAGATAGCCCATGATTGGAGCTGAAAGCATGACCGTGTTAAAGAGGGTGTGGTTGATAATATATGACTTAGGTGGCCAAATTATCCTGGCCTGGATCAGTCCTGATCATGCTAAACATGGTCACTTTGAGAGGCAGGGTGTCATTTGGAACAATCTTTGGACACCACACCTCAAGCAACCGTGTTTAGCACAATCAAGTCTTCTTTCCCTCTAGCTTCTCATTTCTCAGGATCATTAAGTGGCTTAGGCTAAGCAAGGACAGGAAGCCATCTAGCAGTCTTTAGAAATGGAAAGTTTTCCGTTTACATTTTCCTTGCTGCTCACCTTTGGAAGGGAAGTTTTGCTTTTCTTTTTCATTAGTGCAAACCAACACAGCACATCAGCAATGTTTTCAGAGAGTTTTTTTTAAAAAGTTAGAAACAATTAAAAAGAAATACAAAACGTCCTCACCACTGCCCTCCAAAGGAAAGCAGCAAGGAAGTTTCCCATTTCTGAAGAGGGTCAAGGTGTTTCAGCAAAGGGTCAGCCAGCCATTTTGGTTCAGTTTCAGCCATCACACAGGCAGAAAAGAAACCAAAATGGAGTGATCCTATCCGCATGCAAAAAAATAATAAAAAAATGGTCCCTGACAGGAAGCAAAAAATGCTTTGGGGGTGGGTTGGTTTGCACTGGGACTTCCATCATGTACGTAGTTACCAGGAAGAAGAGCAAACCAGCCCATCCCCAGAGCAGATTAAACAGTGGGACAAATTTCATGTAGTCACACCTGGAGAAGGCCTTTCTATATCTGAGACTTCAAAGGGATCCCATACTTAAGCCCTGAAGATGAATCACAAAACGAAGTCAACTAAGGGCTCAATCAGATGGGCATTTTCCTGCTGCACACTCAGAGGCTTTTCAGCTGTGAAGACATTCCCTCCTCCAAGCACAGACTGCCATTAATTTGTTTCTACCCCAAGAAGCTCTTTTTCAAAGTTGCCAATTGCCAATCCATGTTCTAAGAGCAATGATTGACTATCATGGAGTTATGAATAAGACAGTTCCCTAGAATGACCCTTCCTTCCTGGCTGCCTGTTGGGTGATGATAGTCATCGGCTCTGTGTGCCTCCACCCATCCACTTCACTGGTCCCCTGTCCTGTTCTCCAAGTCCTATAAAGACAACAGTGGACCTATTGGGAGGAAAAAAATAAAATTGCCTTCCAAGGTAGAAGACTTTGAGTACCATTGAGGGCATTAGTGGGGTGATAATTGTCTCTTAACAGCTCGGGGTGATTCATCTCGGTTTTCCTTATACAATGAAATCTAAGTAGGGCATCACACTTGACTGGGTGCCTGTATCTAAGAAGCACAGTATCCAAGAAGCTTTGCTCCAGGAGCCCCATTTACTGTGTAAACCCATCTTCAAAAAAAATGAGATTGGGGTTCAAGCTGGAATGCAAAATGGTCTTTTAAATGTACATAGCCACTTTTGTTCTCATCCTTGCCATGTTTCCAGGGAAATATTGCATGGCATTTTGAAATTTCTGACCCGCTTTGCATACTGGCAGGACCCCTCTGCCCCTATTGTTTTTAACTCAAAAGGATTCCATCTTAGGGTAGCATATACAGTAAATCAATTCAATGTAGTGCCTCCCTTGAAAACCGAGAGGGATGACAGAAGTGACCTTGGCATGCACACTCAGACTAGCAACAATTATATTTCAAGTTCAACATCCAGCTCCATCCTTGCTTTTATTTTAAAAAACTGAAACACGGCATTGTACCTGGGATTTGGGGATCCAATTCCATTTTGATATCACAGTTGTTACATTAACTAAGAAACATGCATCTGGCAGGATGCCCGCGCAGTATATACCCACGTACGGGGGGGCGCTTACTTGGAGAGAAGAGGTGCTGGCTTTGTCTCCCACCATGATGTCTTAGGCTACCCTTGTGGAGTAGTGGTGTGTATTTTCTTTAAAACACCCACCGCCACACTAAATTGATAAAGATCTGATTTTGCATATTTTTTTTAGATTCTGAAATGTTATGTTAATATTGTTTATTTTATCAAAATGCTCTCCCGAAAGCTGAACTAAAATAACAGATTACCACATAATTGAGAGAAGTATACTCAAAATAACCATCCTGTGCTGTCTAGTCAGATTCTGATTTATGGTGACCCTTTTCAGAGTTTTCTATGTAGAGAGTAGTGGTTGACCCTTCCCCTCTTCTGGGGGCATCCTGGGACTGTGCAGCCTGCCCAAGGCCACCCAAGGGCGACTCTTTAGGGATGCGCAGTAGAAAATCAAGCTCCCAACCTTTGGTTCTGCAGCCCGACACCCAAACCACGAGCTATCCAGCCAGCTTAGTATACTTACTGTGGATTAAATGCTTACATTTTTAAAAAGGTTTCATTTACACGTTGTTTTTATTAGACCCCTTGTACCTATTTTAAGGCAGGACAGCCAATAACATACCATTCACTTATATTACCGATATCTTAACAAATAAAGAAGGAACTGAAAACTGGCTAAATTGTGGCATACTTGGAAGACCTTCATGCACCAATAATTACTCTTCAGAAAAAAGTCAGTCGAAGAAAGTTACTGACAAACTTCACTTTGGATTTCACTGTTTTATGTCCCCATTTCAGTTGTCCCAATTTCACTTACACTGTCTGTGTTCAAATCAGAAACAATCAGACAGCGAACAGCAGCCAAGAAGACCATTTGTGTGGCATAGAAGCTTCCTTTGGCTTACGCTGTGGCTAGCACGGTATCCGTTTTAGTGGCCCGATTGGACTCGTACCCATCCATGACGATGTCACTATCGATTCACGTCTGATCCAAGGGCGATGCCCTTCTCAAGGCGGGGGGAAAAAAAGGTTTCCCACAGTTTCCTTCCCACCACCAGGTGATTCGCACCCCCCCCGCACCCCCGCCCGCCGACTTCCTCATCCAGGGTGTCTGCAGGAGGCATTTGTCTCAGACAGCAGCGCCCAAGCTGCCCAGGGGCAAGGGGACCTTAATTCACGCTCCCTGCGGGCCTGTATCTTAAAATCATCAAAAAACAAACAAAACAAAACAAACAACCCACCCACCCACAAAAAAACCAAGTATGGAGGGGCGGGGCACCCGGGCTTCTCAGGGGGCGATCCCAGCGACCTCCCCCCCCCTCCATCAGGTCTCTTCAGCCCCCGGTCCTTCTGCTTCTCCTGACTTGCCCCAGGGATGCGCCTTCGCCTCGCCTCCCCTGCTCCTCCTTCGCTAGGGCTCCTTCTCTCGCTCGCTCGCTTCCCGGGCCTTACAAGGCTGCCTGCGAGACAACCCCCCCTCCCCCCGCTTCCCTCCTCCTCCTCCTCCTTTCTTTCTGGGCTCTACAGCAGTTGGAAAGAAATGTTTTCCTCCCTCCAGCACATTCTGAAGAGATCCTATGAAGACAGGATAACCACACCGTGCTCTTTCTCTAGGTGCAAGTTAATATATAGGCATCTTATTAGTATCCAACACATCAATAAGAAAAATAACATTCACCGAGATGACTGAGAGAGATTTTTTTAATTACTTGTGGCCATGAAACATCT